TCGGACTTCGTTTATAACGTCCGTGATCTCAGGGCGGGTCCCGTCGCCTATTTATGACGCGGGCTAGACTTTTGGTCGGTTTCCAACGGCTGTCGTTGCCCATCCCTGAGTTTTGGGATTTTGTCACCTCGGCCATGATTTCAGGCCTGTCGTCTTGCGATCTGGCGCGTGGACGACGCGATGAGCTTCCCGTTTCAAGACGTGGGCCGTTTGCGGGCCCCTCGTCTTGGGGACATCGTCGGCCATACCTGAGCGTTTCACTTCTAGGCTTACGGGGCCGGGACGATGTGCTCTCTCAGCTAGGCCTGAGCCCTTCGCTGATACAAAATACAATGGAGTGCCGGAGCTTGTCGCTCGTAGGCTGCAAATGCAAGGGGCGACGTCGGCCATACCTGAGCCTTTCGCTCTAAGGTGGCCGACGGGGGCACCTGCTAATGTTTTACTTTAAATTCCAGAGAGAAAAATCAGGAACATGATTTTATTCATAAGTGGCTCGAGGCCGAGGGTGGCGTTCAATCAGTAACCCGTTAAGGGGTGAGGGCTTCGCCGTCTACACCTCCTTCGGATTACTGATAAAACTTCACCAGATGGTGTACATTCCACGTTCGTGGTACATTGGACCCATTCGGGCGTTTAAGCTTGTAGGTGCCGGGTTTGACCACGACACTGACGATGTAGGGCCCTTCGTACTTCAATGCTAGTTTGCCACCCTCTGTCGGCTGGCTTGCTTCCCTTCGGCGGAGGACGTAGTCCCCCACCTGAAATTCCCGGGAACGTACCTTGGCGTCATAGTATGATTTTACTTGACGCCAGTAGTTCTCTGCTCGGACGTAAGCTTGCTCACGCCTCTCATCGACCAGGTGCAGGTCAATCTTCATGCTTTCCTCATTGGCGTCAGGCTCGTATTGTTCCACCCGTCGGCTGGGGATGGCAACTTCCGTGGGCGCCTTTGCTTCAATGCCGTAGCACAGGGCGAAAGGCGTTTCACCTGTCGCCCTCCTCGGCGTGGTTCTGTAGCACCACAGGATGTTGGGGAGCTCGTCGACCCAACTACCTCCTGCGGCCTGGAGTTTCTTCTTCAGCCCTTCCATGATCGTTCTGTTGGCGTTCTCGACCTGCCCGTTGCCCTGAGGATAGGCAACGGAGGAGAAACGGTGCCTCACCCCAAACTCCCGGAGGAGCTCCTGGAAAGGGGCTGCCTCGAATTGGGTGCCGTTGTCTGATATAATCTCCTGGGGGACGCCGAAGCGTGTGATGATGTTCTTGTAAACAAATTTTTGGCATCTGGCCCCCGTGATGCTGGCCAAGGGCTCCGCCTCGACCCACTTGGTGAAGTAGTCGACGGCGACGATGATGTAGCGGTTGTTCCCGGCGGCTCTGGGCAGGGGGCCGACCAGGTCAATCCCCCATCTAGAGAATGGAATTGTGGTGCTGACGGGGGCGTAGTTGACAGCTGGCCGACCAGGGGCCTTCTGGAGTACCTGGCATGTGGTGCACTTCCTGGCCAGGTCAGCGCAGTCTCGTGCCATCGTCGGCCAGAAGAAGCCCTGGACGACGATACACCGGGACATGCTGAAAGGGCCCTGGTGCGAGGAGCAGACGCCACAATGAAATTCTTCCATGGCTATGTCGGCCTCATCCTGGTGGAGGCATCGAAGGAGAGTGCCATTGTAAGATCGTTTGTAGAGTTTGCCATCCTCGATGGTGTAGCTTGGGGCCCTGAGTTTGGTAAGTTTGGCCCTCTCCTCGTCTGGGGGCAGCTCCCCTGTTGTGATGAAGGTGACGATGTCGGAGATCCAGTCCTCTGGTCGCTGTTGGACGCACAAGACGGGGCTGGCATGGATGCTGGACATGCTCAACTCCTCGATCTTGGCCAGCTGGGAGATGTGCTCCGGGGTGTCCGAGCTGAGTTTGGAGAGGATGTCGGCCTCGGCGTTCTCGGCCCTTGGGATATGAGTGATCTCGTGGGTTTCAAACGCTTTCAGCAACTCCTCCGCCGCTTGTTTGCACTGCTTCATCCGGCCTTCCTTTGCTTCGTACGATCCCTCCACCTGGCCCACTACCAGTTTGGAGTCGCACTTGATTTTGAGGTGCTTGGCCTTGAGGCCGGCTGCGAGTCTGAGACCGCTGAGGAGGGCCTCATACTCGGCTTCGTTGTTGGATACCCTGAAGTTGAAGCGGATGGCATAGTAAGCTCTGAATCCTTCAGGGGATATGAGGACGACGACGCCGCCGCATGATTTCGCGGCCGACGAGCCGTCAGTGAACAGGGTCCATGTATCGTCCGGCTTCGGCCCGGGGTTGGCGACGGCCGTCTCCCTTGCCGTGCATTCGATGACGAAGTCGGCCAAGGCTAGCCCTTTGATAGATGGCCTTGGCTTGATCTCAATTTGAAATTGGCTGAGGAAAATTGCCCATTTCACCATCCTAGAGGAGCTGGTGGGGCTCCTCATGAGTGCGCCGAGAGGCTGCTGGGTTAGTACATGGACGGCGTGGGCCTGGAAGTAGTGTCCCAGCTTCTTCACCGTATGAACGATGGCCAGCACCGTCTTCTCAATGGGGGAGTACCTGAGCTCGGCCTCCCTGAGTGTCTTGCTGATGTAGAAGATGGCCTTTTACACCCCTTCGTCCTCACGGATGAGCACGGAGCTGATGGCCGACGTGCTCACTCCTAAGTACAAGAAAGGGTCTTCGCCGGCTTTGGGCTTGGAGAGCACGGGTGGGGACGACAGGTACCTTTTCAATTCGTCGAATGCTTCCTGGCACTCCGTCGTCCACTTGAAGCTGTTGGCTTTACGCATGATCTGAAAGAAGGGGAGTGCCCTCTCGGCTGACCTGGAGAGGAACCGGTTTAGTTGGTTGCGGAGGTCCGTCGTGAGGTTGAAGGCCTCCTGGAAGAGGTCCCCTCCGCCGTTGAGTTGGTTGCGCCGTTGAGTTGGTTGCGCCGTGACCTAAGTACAAGAAAGGGGCTCCGCCGTTGAGTTGGTTGCGGAGGTCCGTCGTGAGGTTGAAGGCCTCCTGGAAGAGGTCCCCTCCGCCGGCCTGGTCGGCCGTGGCGTCCTCATCGTGCTCCCTGGGCTCTTGGTCCTCAGGGATGGCTTTGCTGACGAGGTTGCGGTTTGACTTAGTTCTCCCCATGATCAGTGGTTAGCTGTGCTTGGTAGCGACGAAGGGTGCTAACTTGATTGTTCTAGCTCTCAACGAGAGCACCAAATGATAGAGTATATCTAGAGAGAAGTGAGAGCTAGAGAGAGAAGTGCAATAGTATGCTTCAATAGAATGGATTTGTAACCCCTATAACTACTCCCAAGGGGAGTATTTATAGAGAAAATACGGGCTGGGCTCCCAAGGCTTGGGCTTGGGAGGCCCATTTACAACTGGACCGCTACTGGGCTGAATACAAAGCCACTAATGGGCTGTACAAATAAGTAAGTGTAGAATCCGGTTCTGTGGAGTCTTCGTGGCCGACGAGGGCGTGGCCGACGAGGGCACGGCCGACGAGGGCGCGGCCGATGAGGGCACCCGGGTTCCTTGGCTTCAGGACCATAGTCTGAGTTGGCACCTTTTCGGCCGACGAGGGCGTCTTGGCCGACGAGGGCGCCACTCTGTGTCTTGTGCTTTCTGTTCTTCCGAGTATGTGAGTCCGGGGGCTCAGACCCATATACTCCATCAGTATTATAAATTAAATTTTTTAAAAATACTTTTAAATTCTTCTCATTTTAAAATTTCAAAATCTGAATTTTTTAATTTTTTTACTAATAAGGAATGAAAGATAATAATGTCAAACTTGTGCGTGGACAAGCGTGAAAAGTTAACCGTTACGACTAAAATGGAACGGAGAAGATATTTATAATAACCTTAGTCATAGTTTTTTCAATAAATTAAATTTGTGTAATGTTCAAGTACTAAGCTTTATTTAGAAATAGGAGGTACGAAGTATTTGTTTGTAAATGGCATCTACTTGAGTTTGGATATGACCTCATTCTTTCACGGTATATCAAAACTCAAACAACTATTCTATTTGTACACGTTCTTATACACGTTTTTATACACTTGTCTGTGGCAGGTCATATTTTTTGTCTGTGAACGTCTGTGACAGACGTGTTTTGTCTGTGACAAACAAAACAAGCCCATTCACAGATGAAAAAGGATAGAACGTGTATAAAAATGTGTATAAAAACGTGTACAAATAGATTTTTTGAAACTCAAAAGGTTGCACATTAAAAAGTTTAGGCTAAAGGGTCAAATATGCCCTTGTACCTTTCCAGATTGTTCAATTTGCCCCCCAAACTAAAAAAAGCTCCAATTGACACCCTGAACTCCATAAAAAGATTCAAATTTTACTTTTTGCAGGTCACAAGTCGGTCACCGCCACATCACCCGGTAGGGTGCCAACTTAGGGGGTCAAATAAGCCCCTGAACCCGACTGAAATGTTCAATTTACCCCCTCAACCCTTACAATTTTTTTGACATTTTTTAGGGTTGAGGGGGTAAATTGAACGATTCGATCGGGTTCAGGGGCTTATTTGACCCCCTAAGTTACCACGTCACATGCACAGTTGGCACCCTACCGGGTGATGTGGCGGTGACCGGGTTGAAACCTGCAAAAAGTGAAATTTGAATATTTTTATCGAGTTCAGGGTGCCAATTGGAGCTTTTTTGGGTTGAGGGGACAAATTGAGCAATCCGAAAGGGTACAAGGACCTATTTGACCGTTTAGCCAACAGTTTATCACGTGACTGCATAATTTAGAAATCTTAAGAGGGTAAGTATTTATTAATTCTAAAATAAGTTTGATTTATTTAGCACTAAATTAAGCCCATGTTCTTTGAATGTATGTATCACATTAAACTCCGCGGTTATGATTTCATTTCAACGACATTACTACCATGTTTTCAGGAATTCCCCGGTGCTCACACAGGAGATTACTTCTGTTGGAGTCATAAAGTAGCCGTTACGCTAACAAAAATTAAACATGCATTATCTGCCCGACATCAACTACTCCATCCAATTCCTTTTTTTGAATAACTACATAAGCAAAAAAATTAAAAAGAACGGACCCCTTTGCCAATTGATGAATAACTACATGGAGTATTATTTTTCTTGAATAAAAAATGGGTTATATTACTTCCAGACACGAATATAGTCCAAACCCAACCCAAATTTAGATGATTAAAATAAACAAATCCAATGCATTGTACCGAATTAGTCCCCCATTTCCAGTTTCCTCTGCCGTTTTATTTATTTATTTTATTTCCTAAGCTCTTTACTGATCATTCTGTGTTCCTCCATCACTGAGAAGAATCTGAACACGCTGCCGTTTTGCTCTCCACACATTCAGCAGGTGCTAGATTATATATGTGTGTGTTAATCACGTATTTTGAACCCTGGAAAGCTTGGGATTTTCTTCTTGAAGTAGCAGCAATTACTAATATTATTCCTTATTAATGTGGAGATTTGTCTTTAGAAATTGTTCTTTGGTGCTGCTATACACTGCAACATGGAATTGCATTTCTTTTGTTGCAAGTTTTAAGTGTCTCAGTAGTGTACAAGTGGAGGACTCTTTTGGTTGGATTGGCCAAATAATATGGATTGGAGTCTAATCCAATCCATGGTTTGGGTTCGATATGGCCATTTTCATTCCTTCAGAGGTCCTAAAATCATCTTTTGGGAGCACATTGGTAGAATTTAATATGGAATACTAGTTTATTTTTCCAGTTTTCCTAATAAATAGGGACGGTAGTGTTCTTTACTTGAGAAAACTGCTGTTATAACAGTAGAGTCATTTCCATCAAATGACCTTTTCATGTTCTCTTGCATTGCGTTTTTCGGGTAAAACTGTTAATACTGTGATTCTGCGTTAGTCACACTGTGATTGGGAACACAAATTTTGAAAGGAAAACAGGTTACATTTCAAGTATACTGTTTTAACAAGTTTTTCTATAGTGCAGGAAAATACTACTTAGTTCTTTGATGCAGACATATGGCAACACTTAGCGATATAGGTGTGGCGGCTGCAATTAACATCCTGAGTGCATTTGCCTTCTTGGTTGCATTTGCCATCCTTAGGCTACAACCTGTCAACGATCGGGTATACTTCCCAAAATGGTATCTAAAGGGGGTCAGGAATAGTCCACTACACTCTGGGACAATAGTACACCGATTCGTCAACTTGGACTTCCATTCCTACTTGAGATTTCTTGACTGGATGCCTGCTGCTCTGCAAATGCCCCAAGCTGAGCTTATTGATCATGCAGGCTTAGATTCTGCAGTTTACTTGAGGATTTACTTGATAGGGTATTTGCCTTGAATGTAGTAATGGTTAAATGTTTACGTATGCTCATAGAACAAATTGGTTTCTATGTTTCTTTATGCAGGGGATAAATTTTTGGGATAAATTTGTTGTATTTCTTTTTACTTTCTTTATGTATATGGTGCAGGCTTAAAATATTTGTTCCGGTTGCTATCATCGCTTTTACCGTCATGGTTCCAGTTAATTGGACGAATCGCACCCTGGAGGAATCTAATTTGACTTATAGTGATCTAGACAAGCTTTCAATATCAAACATACCAATGGGGTCACAGAGGTTTGCACTATTACATTCTTGTAACTAAGATTTACTCCATGTGATCAAAACCTTACAATTTAGTATGTGATTATTTATTTAGTCTCAGCACTTGCTTACCCCCCAATTAAATTGTATAGCTAATTTGCATTTCAATGCCTTTGCCCATGATTAATGGATATACACCATTAGACACATGTTTGTTGTATTTCTAGACTGTTGATTATCTATTAATATTAATTCCCCGTCTTGTTTAATTTAATTCACACTCCGTACAAAACTATCCACAATCATTTGATATAACTTTACAAAGCAAGCAAAACAACACTTTGGACAGAGAGAGTATATGTCTTTTATGCATGTAAATATATCTTTTATAGGTTTATATTGTGTTATGTGATTCTTTTACATTATGTCTCACGTGACATTGACAATTCTTGCAGATTCTGGACTCACCTGGTAATGGCTTACCTTTTCACCTTCTGGACATGTTATGTGTTAAAGAGAGAGTATGAGATTATTGCATCCATGAGGCTACACTTTCTCGCATCACATCATCGTCGCCCGGAACAGTTTAGTGTAAGGGAACACACACATGTACAGATAGACATACACACGCACATCAAGTTTCTGTTTTTCTGAACTAAAACCTTTGATATGTGTATACTGTATATCAACATGATGGCTATTTGCATTTCTTAGGCTCATTTGATAGTCAAAATCTCTTCCCTTTCCGAGTTTTTGAATGTCTTCTGTGAGCTTAGTATATATTTGATACAGTATATACCTTGGATTTGAGATTAATTTTAAATGAAAAATTGACCCAATATGTGATCAACAATCTTTTGTGTATAGAGAAACATTCTACTCGTCAAGATATTTAAGCCTTCAAAAGTCAAATTTCCAATCCATCACAAACCCTCCACACAAACGGACCCTTGAGGTCATACACTCCTTCTATTTGAAGTGATCACACTAACATAATTCTATAGTTTAATGCATGCATGTTAACAAGTGAAAATTTTCTTTTTGCTTCAGGTTCTAGTGAGGAATGTGCCACCAGATCCTGATGAATCAGTTAATGAGCTTGTGGAGCACTTTTTTATGGTCAACCATCCAGACTACTATCTCACTCATCAGGTCGTATACAATGCAAACAAACTGTCAGAACTTGTCAATGAGAAGAAGAAAAAACAGAATTGGCTTGATTACTATCAACTAAAGCATGCAAGAAAGCAGTCTCAAAGGCCAAGAACTAAGGTAGTATATATTTACAGTTAATAAGACCTTCTGGCCTTCTCTTAATAATTGATGATATAGTAGTAGTGTTTATTCAGTTCAAATGCCTGTTTCTCATTTAAAATTACTAACAACTTTCTGGGACATGTTTGTCATTAAAATCAGGGTGGTCTTCTTGGCTGCTACGGTAAGAGTGTGGATGCAGTTGATTTCTATATTTCTGAAATTGAAAGACTTTCAAAGGAGGTTGGTAGCCCCACCCACCCCACCTTTGTTTTATGTTTGGGCTTTTTCCTATAATATACTACGTACAAAAATAAAATTCATGGACAAAATTGTCATCATAGTTCATTATAGTCACTCCAATGTAAAATGAATATCACCCTAGTCACCAAAGTGACCACCAAAGTATAATTATAATCAACACTGTATTTGAAGTCTGATTTTGGTCCCCTTTTTTATTTGTCATATATTTGTCATTAATTCTTTATGTTTATCAGCATATATTGGTGCTGTTATACCCAAATATCATTATTTGTTGAAAATCACTGTAAAAAGATGATACCTTTGCTAACTCATTTCCTAGGATTTTACTCCAAATATAATTTTAACTTTGTTTTCTTGGAAAACTTTACCAGCAATAATCTTCTGCTTGTGGATTTTTATTTAGTAATAATTTTATGACTCTTAATGATCAATGTCAGATTTGTACAGAGAGAATGAACATTATAGGGAATAGCAAGTATATTGTTCCAGCTGCATTTGTTTCCTTCAAGACAAGATGGGCAGCTGCAGTTTGTGCACAAACTCAACAGACTAGAAACCCAACCAACTGGTTGACTGAGTGGGCTCCGGAGCCTCGTGATGTCTACTGGGACAATCTGGCGATTCCCTATGTTTCACTTACAATCAGAAGGCTCATAGTTGCTGTGTCATTCTTCTTCCTCACCTTTTTCTTTATGATCCCAATTGCATTTGTGCAGTCTCTTGCTAACATTGAGGGAATTGAAAAGGCTTTTCCCTTCCTTAAGGGCATAATTGAAACGTAAGTACCCCTCCCCCTTCATCACTTTCCAGTTGTCATGACTTACCAAACATTGAGGGAATTCAACCTAACTTACCCCAGATGATCATGTGAGATAATATATCCCAGATTTCTATGCCAAACTAAAACCTAGTACATCTAATGTATTATGCACATAGTATGTCAAATGATCACTCTATAGATGCAAAATGAGCTTTTCGTTATATTCGGATGAACTTTGTTTACAAAATGAAAAATGTGTATAACAACAAAACAATATGAGCACGATGATGAAGTGAACATTTTTAAGATGCAAGATGAGCATCATCATCATCATTATCAGTACCCCAGTGCCACAAAGTCTCCCACCTACGGTGGGGTAAGGGGGGTCGGATGTACGCAGTCTTACCCCTGTGCTAAAGCACAAAGAGACCAGATGCAAGATGAGCAATTATAAAAAATTAAAAGAAGTAATTGGATGTAAAACTCCACTGGAGTGTACATTAAATGAATAGGAAAAACCCATTCCTCAAACTGACTGTTCCAAACCATCAGCTGGTGGGCTCCTCACAATCCATTTTAGGAGGTTAGGTTTATTATTAGATTAAACACGATTGTCAACTAATGTAGGATACTCAGCAACCCCTACCGTCTCTTCATATGTGCTTACACCTATCATTTTATTCCTTTACTTAAAAACTTTATGCTAAAGGTATTTTAGACTAACATGTTTCTCATTACTCCATCCTTCTGCAGGAAAGCTGTGAAGTCTTTCATCCAGGGATTTCTTCCCGGCATCGCTTTGAAGATTTTTCTCATCTTTTTACCCTCAATATTGATGTTAATGTCAAAATTTGAAGGATTCATCTCCATATCATCCCTTGAGAGGAGATCTGCAACACGATATTATATTTTTCAGTTCATCAATGTGTTTCTTGGAAGCATCATAACAGGGACTGCTTTTCAACAACTAAACAACTTTATCCATCAATCTGCAAATGAGTATGTATTGGGTTTTCACACTTGCTCTTATTAGGAATATTATTGTTATATTAGGAATATATTGTGTATTTAGTAATATTCTTATCATATTGTTATTCCATTTTCTAATAAGATTATGATTTACTTTAATTATAGACTAATGTGTCTTATGACTCTTATATAAGTTCCCTATCTACTTATATTAGGGAGTGTTAGCGTTTGCTTTTGCTTTTGAGGAGTGGCTTATTTTAGACATTACATGAAAAGTGATTATAAAAGTTGGTAGTGTTTGAAAAGAAAAGCAATTTAAAAAAATAAAAGTTAGAGCGTTTGATGAAAGTACATTTTTGTGTAATGGAAAAAGCGAAAAAACAGTTTTAAGCGCCCCATTTTTTCAGCTTTTATGTTTAAACTGCTTAACTTGAAGTAGGACCACTTGTTTGAGAACACTACTTTTAACTTTTCTTAAAGCAAATATCTGCAATTTTTTAGAGTTATTGCACACACTGCATTATTACTAACACAATCGATATAGCTAATTGTTCTAATTCCAACTTCAATAGCTCCATTGAGGATTAACTTGTCTTCTTCTATTGGTCTGACTGTAGAGTTTCTTTGCCTCAGAATCCCAAAGACAGTTGGTGCATCCATCCCAATGAAGGCAACCTTCTTCATAACATATATAATGGTGGATGGATGGGCAGGAGTTGCTGGGGAGATTCTGAGGTTGAAGCCTCTAATCATATATCATTTGAAGAATTTCTTATTGGTGAAGACTGAAAAGGATAGAGAAGAAGCAATGGATCCTGGGAGTCTAGGTTTCAACACCGGAGAGCCACAAATCCAGCTTTACTTCCTTCTTGGCCTTGTTTATGCTGTTGTGTCTCCTATTCTGCTTCCTTTCATTATAGTATTCTTCAGCCTAGCATATGTCGTATATCGCCATCAGGTAATACTTGCAATTCAAAAAAAAAATATTAAATAAAGAAAAATATACGGTCTAAATAAAAATAAAGAACGAAATTGTGACTTTAGTACGCGGCGAGCATTAGTGATATTTCTGCAGTGGTTGTATTGATCATGCATTTTTCAATTTTTACATCGTCCATTATTTTTATTTTGGTCATATTGGAGGAAAAACTGCAACCTGCCTCCATATATTTATGCATTTCGAAAATATTTGGATTGAGATATGTCAGTGTTTTTAATTGGTTCAGATAATCAATGTGTACAACCAAGAGTACGAAAGTGCAGCAGCATTCTGGCCTGGGGTGCATGGGCGCATAGTGACTGCTCTTATTGTCTCACAACTGCTTCTAATGGGACTGCTAAGTACAAAAAGTGCCGCTCATTCAACACCACTTCTTATTACACTTCCAATATTGACCATATGGTTTCATTTGTTCTGTAAAGCCCGTTATGAACCGGCTTTCGTCATTTACCCCTTACAGGTATATATATTTCATCACAAACGTAATAAGTATATGAAAAATACTATTTGTACATTGTACTCACCCTTATACTCAACACTTTTATGTGAAAGACTTTTTTGTCTGTGAATCTGGTTTACAAACAAAAAGACGCCTTTAACGTCGGTGTGTATAAGGGTGGGTACAAATAGAAGAGCTGTCTATATATAGACATCTGCTTTCCGTTAAAATAATGTTTTCCATGTGGAGTTACACACTTACGCTCGACTACAGTCCATCAATGTGGAAACACACATAACCTTTGTTCTGTACTTACATCCAGGAGGCGAAGATGAAAGATACTCTGGAACGTACAAAAGAACCAACCTTGAACTTGAAAGAGTACCTCCAGAATGCATACATCCACCCAGTGTTCAATGGCGGAGATGAGAGCGATGGTGGCGAAAAGGGTAGTAGTGAAGATGAGATGAAGGAACCCAGGCTTGTTCCAACAAAGCGGCAATGTAGCAACAAGAGTCAGTCCTCTCGTTATCTTCTGTCCGCGTCCGACGTTGATCCTCCCAGCTCACATTCATAGTAGTGTTCTTCATTCTGCTTATTCACCTTTCAACTGCTAATGAGAGGGAGTATATCCTAGCTTAATTAGTCTTCTTCACCAACCTTATATGCTCGCGGTGCAATTCCATTAAATTGATGGATCACCATCCTTTCTAGTTGAATCCAGGTATAAAAGTTTTGCTGTGGATGACTGGTTGTGGCAGCAAAAATGAGTATGCCAGCTGAGTATAGGAACTCTATGTAATTGAACATGTCCCATGGAAATATCTTTAACAATTTCGTTAAATAGATGATTCTTTTTTTTGTTCGAGTTCATGACTACCCACAGTCGGAACACTTTTTTTTTGTATGAAACTGGCTTAACTTATCACAACAGAACGAAAGCAGGTTACAAAGCGACAAGTCTTCTGTCTACCGTCCGCCCTAGAACTAGATTTAGAATTAATCACCTCCGTAGAAGCAATATAATTCTCTGATCCCGCTTTGAGCTTAACTGAGCCAATGACTTGCTGATACTTATCGTCTCCTATCTTAAGTTCTAAAGTTTTTTTGCTGGAAAAACACAGCACAACCTAAACAAAGTACAAATCCAAAACATGAAAAATAAAGAACAACATGCAAGCAAAATAAAAGTATCTTTCAGCTAACATAGTTGTCAGCAGTCTCAGTGGCTCTGGCGGGTCTGCGACCCAGCACCCGCCCCTATTCCGCCCATAGGAGGCTTTGGGGGGAGTTAGGCTAGGCAACAGCCTTGGGCCTCACATGCCAAGGGGCCTCCAAAATCAAAACTATTACTATTAGTATTATGTATAATTACTTAATAAAGGGAAACTAGAATAGAAAAATTATCTTCTACGCATTCAACACGCAGCGAAGTGTAATGTGTAGATGTCTAAATAAGATAATAAGGATTTTAACTTTTTTAGTACTACAAGGCTTTAATGCGATTACAGTGAAATAATGTCTACTAAAGGAGTAAATGTGTAAAGTTAAATATTTAATATGCTGAATGTATGACAAATAAGTATAATCTAAAAATTATTGGGTTAATATTGCTATACTGGTAAAACAAATTGTTATTGTATGGATTAGATTATACGTCGTATGATATAGGCATGAAATAATTAATGTGGTGGTATTGATATTACTAAATTATTTATTTTCTTTGATTTGTCATTTTTATTTATAGATTCTTGGTTTTTGTTATTTTATTGTTTATGATTTTTGTATTATATATTAGTACAAAAAGAAAGAATAAGTTGAGATAACTAGTGAAATTCTCTTTCAAGAATTTTTCCTTTGGACGTTCACGTTATATGTGTAATTTAAATATGCTTTTTTCATATGATTTTTTATGATTTGAATATGATATTTTTTTTTTGTCTGGGGCCTCCAAAGTCCTCAAGACGCCTCTATTTCCGCCCCTATGTAATTGAACATGTCCCATAGAAATATCTTTAACAATTTCGTTAAATAGATGATGATGGTTCTTTTTTTGTTCATGAGTTCATGACTACCTATCATCGGAACACTATGAACTCGTTTATATGAAAATAATGTATAAACTTTTTCTAATACAATTTTTCCTTTCATTTCAGTATCGTCAATAAAATCTATTCGACATCTTTTTTTATATCAATTTAGTAAAAAATTAATTAAATTATTATAAGCAATCTTTTTCTTGGATACTTTTCTGAATAATTTAGAAATAAAAATGCACATTTCGGTGTTAAAAAATAAAAATTGTTGTTATTTTTTTTTTTTTACTTTTTTCAGTTGATAACAAGCAAAATGGGTTCAAGTAAAGTTTGTTAATTTGTGAAGGGCTTGATTAAAAATTTGTGTCGTGCTTTTTTGTTAAAAAGCTCCAGCAATCGGAACTTCAATTTTTAGAAAATTTTAAGTATATAATATTGATGTCATATGAAAAATTTTAAAAAATTATGAATTGTGATGTATTTTTTGTAAAATTTGTAGTGCTAATAAAAATAAACACTTTAAAAAGACATGTTTTTTTTACCTTCATCCTGTGGAATAATGGAACCGGTTACCCTCTAAGGGATCCTGGCAGGTATATTTATAATAGAGAGTAATGTATAAAATACATAAATAACCCTAGTCTATTACACCCCCTCAAACTGTGCGGGAGACACAACGCGCAGGTTGTCCTTTAAAAAGTGAAAACGTTGACTAGGAAGACTCTTTGTAAAAATATCTGTCAGCTGTAGATGAGTAGGAACATACTGAACGAGCAAATCACCATGAGCAACTCGCTCTCGAACGAAATGGTAGTCAATCTGGATGTGCTTGCTCCGAGCATGTTGTACAGGATTGGTAGTCAAGTAGGAAGCGGAGATATTATCACACAATAAATGAACCGGTACTGTGATGGGAAATCCAAGCTCAAATAGTATCGAACGAATATGTAGTGTATCCTGAACGGTATAGGCAAGAGCTCTGTATTCAGCCTCAGTGGAGGATTTGGACATTGTCGGTTGTTTCTTGGATTTCCAAGAAACCAGATTGGAACCCAAGAAAACGGCAAAGCCAGTAGTAGAACGAGAGCTATCTGGACAGCCTGCCCAATCTGCATCAGAGTAAGCTAATACACATGTCGGTGTAGCCGAAGCTTGAAGCCAGAGACCATGATCACGAGTTCCCTGCAAATATCTGAAAATACGCTTGACTGCAAGAAGGTGAGTAGTGCGAGGGGCATGCATAAACTGAGACACTAAATGTACTGCAAAAGTAATATCTGGCCGTGTCAAAGTTAAATATTGTAAGGCACCTACCATGCTGCGATACTCTGTGGAGTCTGTGAGTAACTCGCCATCAGTGAGGGTCAGTGTAGTACGAGATGCTAAAGGAGTACGAACAAACTTGATAGTGTGTAGGTGAAAACGAGCGAGCAAATCAGTGACATATTTATGTTGAGAAAGAAATAAACCTTTAGAGGTGCGTTTAGCCTCTATGCCCAAAAAATAATGTAAATGGCCCAAGTCCTTCATGGCAAAGTGGCGAGAAACAAGGGATATGAAATGATTAACAGCAGCTTCAGAATTGCCAGTAATAATAATATCATCGACATATAACAACAAATAAATGATAGAATTATTATGGCGATAAATAAATAGGGAATTATCGGACTTGTTGCATGAAAAATGATGTTGAAGGAGAAAACTACTAAACCTATGAAATCAAGCCCGTGGTGCTTGTTTAAGACCATAAATGGCCTTGCGCAAGCAACACATGTGATTAGGAAACTGAGGATGAATGAAACCACGGGGCTGACGCATGTATACCTCTTCAGTTAAATGACCATGTAAGAAGGCATTTTTAACATCAAGCTGACGAACCACCTAACCAAAAGAAATTGCTAAAGTGAGAACAATACGCACAGTGGTGGGTTTAATCACAGGGCTAAAGGTTTCAGAGAAGTCTATACTAGCCTGCTGATTAAATCCTTGAGCAACTAACCTGGCTTTATGGCGCTCCACTGTGCCGTCAGAATTATATTTGGTTTTATAAATCCACTTACACCCAACAATATTTTTAGAGTTATCAAATGGAACAAGATCTCAGGTATGATTAGTAATAAGTGCATTAAACTCCTCAGCCATAGCCTCCCTCCATTTTAAATTTTTATGTGCCTCAGAAAAACAAGAAGGGTCAGTGCCAATAACACCAGTGTGTAAAGAAAAAATAGATTTAGGTTTAAAAATCCCGGACTTAGCACGTGTCTGCATGGGATGTGCATTTGCAACCGGTAGGGGCACGGAGAAACTGGCTGGAGACTTAGCCGAAGGGTGCTCGACAGAAGAGGACAACGAAGAGGCTGATGGGGAAAGTGTGTTGGTGTCTGGGTGTGGAGTGGGGAATGATACATGGTGTGGGCTTGGTTCCAGGAATGGTGGAGGGGAAGAGGGTTGGTGGACTGGGCTTGGGGCTGTCTTTGGCGAACTGGGAGGGGAATGGTGGGGACTGACCGAAGGGGAAGTAAGGGAGCCGGGTGGAGTAGTGAGTTGGGGACTAGCCGCGGTAGAAGAAGGGAATGAAGAAGATGAGATTCTAGGCGGGCTGTCCACGGCTGGGGAATGAGGCAGTAAACCAAGAGACGAAGAGACACTAGGAAAGGGAGCATCCAAGAGACTGGGAGTAACCGGGTGTGGGGAAACATAGGCAGATGACACCTTACCCGACTTAAAGGGGTAAATATTCTCGTGAAAACGAACGTGACGACTTATGAAGACTCGCCTAGTAATAGGGTCAAAACAACGATAGCCCTTATAACCAGATGCATATCCAAGAAAAATACATTGCACCGACCGCGGTGAAAGTTTATTAGAGGAGGTGGCAGAAAAATTTGGATAACACGCAGTACCAAAAACTCGCAAGAAAGAAGAGTCAGCGGCCTTATTGAAAAGTTTTTGAAATGGAGAAAGGCCATTAAGTATAGGAGAAGGTAATCGGTTAATTATGTATGCAGCTGTATAGAGGGCATCAACCCAGAAGTGACTTGGAACCGAAGCTTCAAGGAGCATGGTGCGAGTGAGTTCAAGTAGATGCTTATGCTTACGCTCAGCAACACCATTTTGTTGAGGTGTATCAGGACACGACTTTTGAAAATAAATGCCTTGAGAAGTAAAAATTGCTGCAAATTCACAAATTCACCCCCTCCATCACTTTGAAAAATTTTAATTTTCTGATTAAAAAGATTTTCAACCAAAAGTTTAAATTTTTTAAAGTGTTCAAATACCTCACTCTTGCGGTGCATAGGGTAAATCCAAGTAAAATGAGAGTAATCATCAATAAAAGAAACATAGTATTTAAATCCCAAGTTAGAAGAAATGGGGGACTGCCACACATCAGAATGAATTAATTGTAAAGGAGAAAAACATTTATGAATAACATCAGAAAATGGAAACCGTTGTGATTTACCTAAACGACAAGGAACACAGTCATGAGTAAAGCTAGAGCTATTACATAAAAATTTATTGTGTTTAAGAAAATGTAAAATTTTGTCACCGCAGTGACCTAATCTACGATGCCAAACTGGACCCGATGCTGACAAGGATGCTAAAGCTAATGGGGAGGAAGACGACAGACGGATAGGATAGAGTGGCCCACTACTGGAAGCTTGTAGAAGCACTGCTCCCGAGATTTTGTCCTTAACAAAAAATGAATTTTTATCAAAAATTACAACACAGTTGTTATCAGCACATAATTTTTGAATAGAAATTAAATTGAATT